TAAATGGGGATAAATCAGTTGTCCTGGTCCTTTAAAAAATGTCTTTTTATGTAACTAATTTGCAGCAGCTATACAGTTGTAAATGCAGTGTAAGGTCAATTTTCGCCTCTATAAGCGCAGATTTTAATTCTCTTTTAAAATTTTGCTACCAATTACAATGTATTCTCATATTTTATATAATCTAATCTTTTCTGCCTTGCAGTTGGTACTAGGTTGATGGTACAGTGTGAGCGTGATTATGTGGTGGGGTGTGGTTTGTGGCTCAGCTGAAGGGGAGGGGTGGAGCAGTGGGTTCAGGGTGTGGTGGCATAGGAGGCTGACCCACACCGCTGTTCTTCATCACCTGGTCAAGCCTTCCCTGTTTTAGTAGGTTGTAGGGACCCGACGGGAGTGGTGTGTGAAGTGTTGATGAAGAAGGTAGCTGGAAAGCTGCTCTAACAAAAGCACGAAAGATGCTGAAAATAAGGATCACTGGACTTGCACTGATGTGTGCTTCAGGTCTTTTTGTTACAGATTAATCCAAACATCAGTGCAGACTTGACATTGAAGACCTAATGCTTAGACCTAATGCTTTTTACTTTACCAAGTTTTAGCCCTAATTACAAACGCTTCACAACCAAATATTTCACCAACTCAGGCCTAAAAATACACATGATATATGCTTTGTTAACAGCTGAGCATTTTGTATTTTAAAACTTGAACTTGACAAGCAAGATGTTTCACTGCAATCTAATAAATGCACACCATGATCTATTGAAAATAACTGGAAGCTATTTACCAAAGTCACAGAGTGAGATGTAGTTTGACTTTCTCATAGAATAGGTCGTCATTGATTCATGCAACCACGGAACTGGCCCCTACATGCCATGAGAAAAAAGCCATTTTGCAGATTCACCATATCTGTCATTGGCCTCACATCCAATGAACGTATCAAAGGTTACGTCCCCTTTTCTCCCCCATAATCTAGTTGTCTTTTTAAAGTCTATTACGCCAATTCTGCGTGCATGTAAGACACAGACTGAAATTTCACAATGACTGCTGTCATTGCCAGCAAAGATAAGTCTACTGCATTGACTGTCAATAACGTGGCAGTCTCCAAGCAGCTTACTCGGAGCTCTCGTCTCGTCTCTCCTTACTAAGCCTCCAAAGGGGGCCGTGTGGCAAACTGGCAGCCACAACTTCTTTCATCCATTCTGAGAGAGCTGAATAAAGTTCAGAGGAATTACAAGAATATACCCAGTTAGACCCAGAGTAGCTGGCATAAACACGATTACTGAATCACTCTCAGAAATGTTTACACAATTGCCAACTTGATGTGGTTGAACCAGCATGGCTCAAGATAGTGTAGAGCATGTGGGCAGATGACACCTAACTCAGAGCTCACATTCATTCATTTAGATTAACTGCCAGATCCCTAGATGTTGTGGAAGCACAGAGTATCTCTTATCTTCTGCCACGTTTCAAATCACCAAACCACTGGATTCTCTAATCAGAAAGGTACAATCCAGACACTACTACAATATGGCAGCTTCAGAGGGAAATGCTTGACAGGGTGGTCTATTCAGCAAAAGAGAATTTATTTATCCAGTATATCCAGATCCATCTTCCTGATGCTAATTTATGCTTTGTGGAGTAAACATATCCATGCTCATGCACTTGAACTACAAAAAATTAAGTCTATCTATGAAATGCTTGAACATTAAACCTCATTTCTCGCTGCATTTGATCCAATGGTTTGCTACTTTAGTGAATTACTATCAGATCCCCACAAGCCAGCCTAATATGGCTTTTAGAGACAGAAAAAAGCTGTGTAATTAAAAACACTTATTTAGTTTCTCTGTTTTAACAGCTAATTTTCATTAATGCCCAAGTAGTACAATAGTATAATTATCATTTGGCCAGCAACTTTTTAAATACATTTAATTGGATCATTTGTATTAATACAGAATATCACAATTTTATTGGTTCCTTCCTTTCACACAACCTGTACAGTAAAAAATACCAGTGTTGAGTGCTACTGAGTGACAGCGCCATAGCACACCGTAGGAGAACAGGCTTAATACCAACACATTCTGAAGAACCCCTGAAGGTCTGCAGCTAAAAATATAAACAAGGCTAACTCCTTGATGCAGAACACATCTCCTACACCCTGTATATCCTGGAGTCTCATTATTGAATATCGAGTCTCTAATTCAAAAGGTTGTATCTTTGTCATTTTAGCAAAACCACAACACAATTGAATGATTAATGAACCTTTCGTGTGCATAAAACCTTCTTTGAGCAGCAATCGAAATAGGAAATGGGAATCATAAACACATGGAGAAAGGGATGGGGGGCCAAGACATTGAGGATTCTTTGACCATCCGCTATGAGGAAAACCAACTCGTGGGAAAAACTGATTAGATCCGGCTCACAACGACAGGCAACTTAGTGATTGGCTGAAAGAGCTGATTTGCATGCTCCTCTCATCTTCAACAAAGTCTCAGGATGCACTGGTGGATAAGGTCACTGGTGTCAGTCTGCATGTGTGCCAGCTGAGAATGTAAACAGATCAAACACACAACAGGCATTTAAGTGTTTCCAGAAGGAGTCTGGGTTCTTGATGATCTAGATAATCATGACCCCAAATTCATGTCAGAGGTGAAAGGCATTCTAGTCAGAAGCAAGAATAGTTGAGAGTTACCATACAGCTGGAATTTACACTAATGGGAATGTTCTGTCCTACCAATGAGGCAGAAAAGTCTCACAACAGATCAGTATGGTTTGTCCTCAGCTAATCGTTTTAATTGATTTCATTTGGTGGCTGAACACAGTCTACTTGTGTCTTTACGCACATGCAATCATCCAGCGAAGGAAAATCCACGAAGGTTGATTATTTTCAATATGACATTATGTTTTCTTAGGGACTTCCTAAGCGAAACAGCAAGTGTTGCTGATGTCATTTGTTTAGCAGTGTAATCTGTTGTAAATAAAGAGTTCCGCATAGAAAAAATGATGTAAAGCATCTCAAGGGAGAACTGAAATTCTGTAGCAAAGTCAGAACCAAATATTATAAAAGTCCTGTGAAACATGTAAATTCCACCAAAATCTTTATGGTATCATATGCGAACTATGAATGCTTGTTCAAAAATTTGATGCCATTCATCTTGTGAATGGAGTCGTACATACAGATTTGCTTGTAAATAGTGACATATTTCAGTCTGAATTTAAGTGCTGGGCTTACTTGACAGACTGATTTCAGACTGAAGTATTTATTAGTTCTTATTAATCTCTGGCTCTTTTCCACAGCATGTCTTTGTCCTGCCTTCTTCCCCTTCACCCCCAACCGGAGGTTTCTTCCTGTTAAAAGGGAGTTTTTCCTTGCCACTGTCACCAATGTGCTTGCTCATAGGGGATCATATGTTTGTCTGGGTTTTCTCTGTTGTCTTTGTATTATTGTAGGCTCTTTGCCTTACAATATAAAGTGCCTCGAGGCAACTGCTGTGGCGATTTGTCTGTATATAAATACAACTGAATGAAATTGAACTGAAACTATTTTACTTAAAATTGTTTTTTCTTTGTCTGTGGAGAAAACTGATCCACAATATATTTTTGTCAGTTCTGTATTTTGCCAACATCAAAATAGATAGAGACTTATGTGCTATTAATATTTTAATAAAAATCAATCAATAAATAAATAATAAAAAGAAAAATAGATTACAACAAAAGAAATATAAAACACAAGTGTGTCTAAATTATACATAAGCTTAGTATGCATAAATAATGACATCGCAAAGAAATATAAGACGTCTTTTCTATGAACAAATTCTGTATTGACAAGAAAAATCAAACAAACATACAAAATATTCCAACCACGTTGACTCTGTTTGTCTCTGTTCTGTTCTTTATGCGCCCCGTGTTATGTAAATGTTGAACATTCAGGATAATCTACTGGTCTGATAAAGGTTTCAGTTTGTGTTTTGATAGAAAAAACAAAAAAAGCTTACCAGAACGTCACACCCGACTGGAGACTAGCTCCTTTTTCATCCTACAGTGGCATTAAATGTCTCAATGCCATCTGGAGCTGTGAGAAGAAAAGCCCTCCTTTTAAAGATGCCCATTTTAATTGGTAAATATTTACTCGCACGAGCTCTTGGCAGGCATGAACATAACGTCTAATGAAGCACTTTAAAGCCTATGGGCTCTTTCAGCTTACTTTGAATGTGATTCTAAACAAATGCAACCTGGGGTTGAACTGTTGATGAAGGTTGATAAGGGGGCTGAACGCTGCAGTGACTGTTCTTTGTTTAATAACAGTGCCAGCACCAGTGCAGTTACCCTGTCAGTGCCTGTGTGTGTGTGTGTGTGTGTGTGTGTCTGCAGTCATCTGTACAGATGTAGTCAGTCTTCAGTCAGCTATAAAGATAGACATTTGTTTATGTATTTGCATGTACTTTGTCTGTTTAGACTTAGTAATAAATCCATTTTCACTATATTTTTGCCCCAGTATAATTTGATATTAAAACATATTTATTAGAGCGATCCTAAAACTTTCCTTTGTATGACCGCTAAAGGACAACAGTTGGAAGGACATCAAAAACTTAAATAAAAAATACATTTGCAATAGAATTTCAACAGAATATGGAAAAAAAAATGGCTCCAAATTTGTGTACATCTAATGTACACATACAGATTTGTGTATGCCTGTGCATCAGTTGTGCAAGGACATATTTACAGATTGTTTGTGCATGTAACTGTTTCCAGATGTTGTTTTGTGCATCTGTCTGTTTTTACATTTACCAGTCTCTCCAAATTCATCTCCAAGATTTGCACAACTGCATGTGTGTGTGTGTGTTGCTGCTGCTGTCCTAATGCACAGGTCTACATGTACATTAATCTCTGCTGCAGCGGCAGCTCATTGCCTTGCATGCACCGCTCTCTATCCCTGACCCAGTATGCTGTGCGATCCTGCCTACAGCCTCATTTGTCTCCATCAGCGGACAACCGAGGTTACGACTCACCAAAGCGCAGTATGTTTCTGGCGGATCTCCACACGTGATATTTGGAGGGTCGAGGGTCACTCGCAGGTACTCTGTCATGTCAGTGGCTTCGGGCTGACAGGCCATGTAGTCCCATGCCAGGCCTTCCTCTGTGTAGATCTGGGACTTGCACACGTCATAGTGTCCCCAGACCGCAGGGTAATGTTGCATAGCGTGGCCCACACTGGTGCACAAAGCTTGCAGAGCGAACAACACAGGCAAGAACATCGCTGATCTCATTCAGTATGGTTTCTGTAGGATTCTTCTTTTCTTTTCTTTTTCTTTTTTGTCTTTTGCTTAGTCACAGAAATGACGATAGCACTCTAACTTAACAGCAGCTTTGAACGGGGCAATAGAGCATTTAGGAACTGTGGCAGCATCTTGCTAGTTTTGTGTGAGGAGCTTCAGGCAACTATTAGCCCCCCTATTAGTTATTTTGTCTTTGATTGCCACCGCTTCTGCCAGGCTGATGAGGTGCGTCAACAAGGGGGTGTCTTCACTAGTGTTGGTAGTTGATAAAAGGGTGAACTAACGGTCAGATGTGATGTGCAGAGGAGTGACACTCCTCATAAATCAGCAGATGTCTGAGCTTGATCCCCAAGTATACTTTTTGGCACCAGCAGCATCCTAAAGCACAGAAGAAAAGGATAGCTTAATGAATTAAAAAGATTGGATACATTCACAAAACATTTGAAATGCGACATTAAAATATTAAATGAGTTTTAACATGGCTTGCAGGGAGCTAGGTGGAGAAGTCTTACATCTTACTACCCACTCCAACACATGCACAAACCCAGACACAAAGACACACGTATGTGCAATAAGTGCACAAGTGTAATGTATGGCTTTGCTGCTTTTATGGGTCCCTCAATAATAACCTTTTCAAAATCACTGTGTACAATTCAAATTGAGCTTCTTCTGTAGAGTCTAATCTCCATGTGATTTTCATACATTGTGCAAAAAGACTTATTTCCATGTGTCAAGTCACTACATTTAAGTTATTGCCTTTTCTGATTCTTGCTCCTTTATAGCCGAATGTGGAGTTGCATTTGTCTCCACGCCTTAAGAGGCATTTGGGAAATATTAAAGTAAAATTGGAAGACAGAAATAGTCTATTTGAGGGATTGTACATTTCTCGAAGCAATCGCAAGCCATCAGTCAGATGGCCCGACTCATCAGGTAATGGTGCCTGGCAGCAGTCAGCGGAGACCTGCACCATCTCAGTGACTCAGGTAAAAAGTGTGTGCAGTAGCAGGGACTAAATGAAGCAAGCATATACACTAGCACCTCCAACTGAGTATTACTTTAAATAAGAGTTAAGCTACTGTTGACTGTCAATTTGCTCAGATGGCCGGAGCTTTTGCCTTAGTGAAAAGTATTTGTTGCTGTGAATAGCTGTACAGAAAAAATACATTTCAATCTAACCTTTGCCCACACAGGTCACAATGTTAAGAAACGCGCATGGTTATCCTCTTAAGTGCAGGTTAAACGCATTGTGCAAGGGGAGTTCAGCAGTACTTGTTGAGGCAGAACCATTACTCATTGAATTTCTCTGCTCTGATTCCTCCAGCTGATACAGTACATGAAGTTGAACCCGTAACTTTACGGTCAGCAGCTTTCCTCTCTACCCTTCAGGCTACAGCCACCCCCCCTGTGACTGACAGTTACAGCTGAAATTTATTTATTTATTTAGGTAACCTGGGGTTTGAAGCGTGTGGAGGGAGTTTTATGTTCAGAAAAGTGAGATAATTTGGTGTGTCAACACAAAGTATTACCATATTTGAGAGGTTATTAAATCAAATTAATTAATTAAGCAATTTAACAATATTTATCAAGAGAAACTCATTTTAATGAGCGATGTCTCTGTTCACGAACACTTACTACGTGATGCCTGCTAGCATGTGGAGGTATTAGAATTCAATATTTTAATTTGGTCCTCTTGTCTTGGACTGAAAATGGTGCCAATTTGAAGGAGTTAAGACCACATTTCAGACTTCCTGAGAAATACTGCATTCCTTTTTCTAACCTAATGCCCCTTTTACAAAATGACTATGGGCTTGAATACATTCCAATTGTAATGAAAGTTATTCATCTGAGCCGGAGAAATTACTGAGCTGCTTTTCAGACCCTTCAAAGTGGGCCATGACAGAAGGTATGGATGAATGGTTGTTTAAAAAAGAAAGAAAGTAGAGGAAATAAAGGCAAAAAGGTAGAATTCTTTTTCTTTAAATGCACTCGTATCAGTCGACAAAGTGTCTTTAAAACATGCCTGGAAGTGTAATTGTTGATTAAGTCATTTCTTTCGCAGGATGTGTGTATAAGATTTCATAAATATAAATGTCAGCGTCTGATCGGAGGTGCGTCATGGGATGGAGCACTTACGATTGACATGCGAACCAACACACACACCGTGATACTGCAAAGTCCCACACCCCCTTTCATAATGCTGAGGTTGGCTTTCATAAGACAGTCAAATTAGGTAGCAGCAGCAGGGTGGTGTAGGTCACTTATCTCTAGGAACATTCAAAGCTAATAAGGGACAACAAATAGGCCTGACCATGGGATACGGGATTTAATTCACAGACATCTAGAGCAATGAAATTATATCCAGATGAAAGGCAGGTATCGTGTAGCTCAGTAAATCGACATAGACAGGTATGCTCATTGGTGCTAAGGTAGGAAAAAGGAATTGCAATTTTTTTTTAATCTTTACTCCTCTAAAAGAGAAAATTAGTGCGCCGAGTAAGCGTTCCCACACAATTTATGAAGTAAATTCAACTGCTTTTCAATTAAACATGACCAAGAGAGGTGACATATGTGATAGCCACAGCAATTTGTACTGCATTAATAATATGCCTCCGTGCTGCAGTGTTTGCATATTGGGCTATACAGCCACAACATTAAAACCACTGACATGAAAACCTGTTTAACACTTGGGACATTTCTCAAGAAAACGCATTCTGTGTGTTGACCTCCAGTCTCCACAGATCCCAAACTGATTAAGCATCCATAGGAGGTACCAAAACAAGGCAGCTCCATAGAGGACCATAATACCAGCTGAAAATGTACTCTAGCCTGACACCATAGAAATGTCAATGCCCCGATGGACCAGAGCTGCTTTGGCTGCACATGGGAACACATTGCAATAATTGGCAGCACTGTATATTTTGCATCAAAAATGATTACACTGAAAAAATTAAATGTAGAAGAACACTTGTTTCCTCTGTCATGACATGTCTACCTCATATTCTGTGCTACTCAAAGTGCAAGGAGAAACCTGTGAATGTCATAATTTCACTGAGAAAAATATGAGTCAGATTCTATATTAGAAGTTATTAATATTTGAGTAGCCCTCCATATGCCGGGAGAAAGAGCTCAGAACTTTGGATGACCACCCCCCCCACTCCTTCTCTCTCACACTCTCTCTCTCTCCCTTCCCCTCTCTCTTCATCTCTTTTCCTTCACTTGTTTTTGAAGCCTCTGAAACACCCCCTTGTGTCCACTTGCATTCCATCCCCTGGGCAGCTCAAGCATAGCAGAGTGTTTTAAAAGTCAGCAGGCAGTCGTGCCCCGTGGCTTATATTGGTTACAAACTCCCAGCCAGACTCTTAAAAACCAAAACGGATGTATTCCATTCATTTTATAGTAATCCCGCTTAAGTGTGGCTTTTCTCTCTGTCTCTGAGTGTGGCTTTTTGATCCCCTCTTAGCTCTCATTTTATAACCAACGTGAAAGAGAGCTGTCCATGGTGCTGAAAGGCAGGACCTCAGATCTACTCCAATACTCTGCACCAACTGACATCAATGATTGCAAAATAACACTCGTATTGATTTTAAAATAAAAAAAAAGACCCTAACATGACAGTCTGATTTGCGCTTTGTGGTTTTTCCACTGACAATTGCTATTTTACCGTCTTGCCTTTTTTTTTTTCTTTTTTTTTTGTACTGGGCATCAGTCAGGCTTTTGGATGTGCACACATACAATACCTCCTATTGTGTTCATTGATTTTGTTGAATTCCAACCAATAGCTTATGATCCATAGCCAGTTTGAGCAGACTAATGCTTTGTTTCTGGCTGATGAGTGCAACAATAAACGGGTTAATGCTTCCAAATTTCTTACAGCCAAGAACAAACCCCCCAATATGAGTCACAGTGGGATCGACTGGCAAGCAGGAACATGTCTGTACTGTAACACATTTATCTTCTGACTGTCATTCCTCTCCGTCTTGATCCTTCATTCAATTGTTATTTCCCTTCAACCATCTCTTTCTGTCTCTCTCTCTGTTTGCAATTGTGTCTCTTAGCTTCTCCCAATATGAACACTTGACATAAAACATACAATTATTGCCCCAGGGCTGCACCTTTAACCTCTCCAACTCGAGCCACGTTAGGTCACTTGTTATTTAAGGACTCACTCTAGGATGTGGATGATGTAGTTACAGTGTGATGGCCCCAGACACGGCCAGACAGCCTTCACTACAATCACATATGAAATCATGCTGTCATGTATTATTCAGAGTTCTTCTCTGGGACGACTAACATGCAAAAACGCACAGCATCAAAACAAATTTTTGGAATTATTGTTCAGCACATGTAATGTTCAAAGACAGAGCCTCGAGCAAAAGTCTTTTTAAATAAAAAAAAAGTATTTTCTGGTCTTTAAATGATTTCAAAATGGAACATGCAAATATCTGATAGAACTTGAAAAATTTACATATTTTAAAGAAGCTGTGTTCTCTTTTATGTTCTGAATCCAGTTTTCCGCAGAGGCATGGCACACCTAGATTTGACTTTGCTGACTTGCTGCGCAACAGGTTAAACTGACATTGTTTCCACTATTAAACGAGAATTTTGGGGGCGGACTTGAAGAAAGGGTTTGGGTTTAGGTGCAGACTACACATTTCAGTTTCTTGATAAACGAAGAAAACCTTCTGAATACATTTAAACTCTCTGAAGAAGGACGCCAATTAAACACTATGGACATGCACAACAGTTTTTATATATCTCATATAAAACTCGTGGTTATGTTACCCACTTCTCACCTAACAAACGCTACCGTTCCCACAAACAGCCTACTGCAATTACCCTATTACGGCGGCCCATTTAGTAACGACGATCCCGGTCACAGAAGCAACAGTATACAAATAACGAAAACGTACAAACTCATCTGAATGCTCAAAACAAAACACTTACATTTAAATACGCTCCCGGGACAAACTGCTCATTCAACAAGTTATTTTGAGGCCACCGGTAGTTGCAGAAAGACGTTTATTGGTCTCTGACGGGCTCTTTTGTTTCTAATTTCCTTCTATCTTTTGCACCAGATAGATCAATAAAAATGATGTGTGCGCAGAAAGCGGGAACTGACCTGGAGACTACGATGTTCTCTCTTGCTCCCAACTTTCTTTAAACTTTTTCATCCGAATAATGAACACGGGGACCCGATCGCCAGAGCTTTTCTTCCCCCTTTTACAAACGCCACTGTGCCTTCACGGATGTCCACACAAGCGGCTCCTTGATTTACGCAGCGCTGGTTGGCGCAGCGTTCATCCGAATGGCGCACGAGAATACTTCAGAAGCCTTTAAGGTAATTCTCAGTTGTCCCAAATTCGATGAAGTCCATCAACGGGTATTAAAATACATCCCGATGAAGAACAACTCTCGGGTCGTTTGGATAGGTTAGACTGATTTCTCAGCCCAGCCGAGTTGTGCTCGGAGGAGGAAAGAGATAAGCAATCTTCCTCAAATGGAGCTACTATGTCCAGTTACATATGAGCGCTCCGCCGGGTCCTAAAGATAACACTGACTGGCTGGTAAATCTCAACTTCAGTCGTTGTTTTTCCAGAATATTACAGCCAGTTCCCCTTTACGCGCAAATTAAATGTAATCAGAGCAGGCACAGTAAAACATGCGCTTTTCAAAAATGCTAGAATATTTGAGCATTTGATTATTTTTAATCTACATTAAATTATGCCAAAGTAGACAAACTTGCTGTAGTCTTGAAGTTGAATAATATTCATAAAGTTGCTCCATGATCTCTTGCAACGGACTACATCGGTTTCTACATAAGCTTCCAACTCATTTGAAGCCAGCTGTAACTGTAAATGCGCTAATGATATTTCGAAACCACAGCTGCACTGCGCACACATACAAACACACACAGACACACACACACGCACACACACAATAATGATGTCCACCTAGATTTACTGTATAACAGTTCTGAATCTAACTCTATTGCCGCACAGATCTCACCATCAGCAAAACTCACTGCGGTTTCATTATCACATCGCACGAACCATGAAAAGGAAGGGCTGCACGTGAAGAGTAAAAGCCCCAAAAACTTGACAGCTGCGAGTCTTCGGGGCGAAAATTTAAAGTACAGCACAATTAGAATGCAGCCTGCGGAGTTTTGACAACACAAGCTCGGAAGAAATAAGTGAAAGACCCCCCCCCCCTAAAAATATAATATAGGTTATTCACCAATAATCGCCCGATTGTCTGACACATTGATTGCTACAACAACACCGCCTCGGGTTTTAATGCGATCAGAAAATAAATAAAGGGGAAAAAAAAGATCTTACCTGTACATGTTACAATGTGGGGAAATAACTGCGCTTGTAAAACAGATAAGTGAAAAAAAAAAAACTCCTCCGGTCGGAGTTCGTGCTGTAATTATTCGTTGAATTTTGCGGGCAGAGCTAAAAGAATAACTACAGTTAGGTGCGTCTGGCGGGCTCCCTTGGCGCGGAGTCACAGATGTCACCCGCTCCACTACAGGGTGCCAAGCAGCACGGCAAACAACCACGGTGACAGGTCGCTTTGAATACGCATTTTAATTGTGTTGTAATGCCAACTGGTGGCGATTGCACGATAAGAACAACCGCGCCCAGCTGAAGGTCACCACAGTAATTGAGCAGTCCGCATCTCACGTCGACGCTGGAACCGTTTAAAAACTTCTAAAGCAATCCGAATCAATAAGTCTCGCGCTTATTCTTAGTTCATATTTCTACCAACTGCAAAATTACTATGCAGATTCAGAGGCACGAAGTGAAAAACGGTCTTTTTTGTTGTAAGTTTAATAAGAAATGCAAATATTCATATTTCTCTGATAATCTTTTCTCCGATTAAACATTTTCACCGTTTTTGCGACTCGCATGAATCTTGAGTACTCTGGGCGGCTCTTGCGCCCTTTAGGCAAACTGACCGGCTGTATAAGTGGATTTTCAATAAGAGCAAAATATTTTTCAAATATGTGACGTTTCAAAGCTCTGCGTTGAAGTTGTTTGCTATAATAGGTAATAATTATTGCGTTTTTGAAATCCCTTTCCAGTATTGGCTGTTGGCGTTTTCTGTCCTTTCCTTCTCATATCTATGGATGCAGATGACCTTCCTTTCTTCCCTTCTTATATTCACCATCCATTCATCCATCTAATTTACAATTTTTTTCTTGTATTTTCAAGGCATCTACTTGACCTTCATTCCTTCTTTGTTCCCTTTCCTCCCGCCTCTTTTCCCCCCCAGAAATCTGAATAGAAGTCTTATTTCTACCCTTCATTTCCCTGCTTGTCCCTGGTTTTGTAGAATGTAAGCTAAGCAGTTATGTGTTTTAAATGCCCCCAAATAGCACCTAAGCCCATATTGATTTCTTGCAAATTAATATGCAATGAAAGACCTGTAATCCCATTAAAAAGTGACAATGCCATTTCTGTTCTGATAAAGGCAGATTTTGGTTAGGACTGGAGCTGCATGACAACAAGTCTCTCAACCCCAGTGAGTAAAGTGTCTCACGCTGTATCAGAGGGTTCAGCCTTTGCTTCCAGCTACTGCTGCTCTTGACATTTCCATTAAATCATTCCTCCTGGAAATACTACTATACCACCCTGACAGTCACATGACTGCCCCGCTTCATTTTGATTTGAGACATACATAGATAGATAGATAGGTACGTAGGTAGGTAGGTAGGTAGATAGACTGACCATGTGAATTTGATATAGTTGTAATTTCTGATTGCACAATGTTGGTGAAGTACTGGCATCTTTAATCTAGGCAGACTGCTATTCAAGTTGATCTATATAAAAACATGCAGACTGCTACTCTTCCAAACCCCAGTTTCAGCCCCTCCTGGTCAAAGGCTCCAGGGTCAGCTCAGTGAATAGACAAAGCCTCCTTGAAATCACATCAGAGAGTTAGAATTCCACCATAGCAGCTCCACAGTTTTTCAGCAGAGTGCTACAGTGTTTGACGAGGATACAGAGGTGGAGTCTGCCCTCTCACCCTCTGCACACCCTTTCCCTTGGTGCCACCAAGAACCTAGGCTGACAGAGATGGAGCGCTTGCTGTTTGATTCAGTTCCCGGGGGTCTATTGATAGTTTCAAAGTGGAGTCCACCTGCCACTGCTTTAATCATCTGTGACCCCACTGCATGTTGGAAGACCACAGTGGGACAGCAGGATCAGCAGCCTCGTACTTAGAGTGTGTGTGAGCAGTCAAGAGGAAGAGGAAAAGAAGGAGAGGCTGACATGCAGAGATGATAAGGAAACATTTGGACCTGCAGAGATGAGATAGATAGGATGTTTTTGGTGAGCTGCACCTTTTCCAAATTCCAAACATTTTCTTTGTTCTGCCTAGCTTAAGATTTCTTTCTTTTTTCCTCATGACACATTTCTATCCTATTTAAATGTATTATTGGTGTATTTAATCTTATTTCTCTCTAGAGGTGGGGCAAAGTGAATCAGCATGCAGGCACAACTTATGGCTGCCAAATTAATTCAATTTATTCAGAAACCTTTCTTAAGGCCAAGGTTGTAATTATGGCATGCAATTAGAGGGGGTATAAATATTAGATAACTTCCCAAGTCCCTGTGAAAGTTAACCCAAAAGCTGTTTTTTTCAGGTATTGGCGATTTACATAAAGATCTCAGAGGCCTGCCGGCTATAATTAAAGTAAAATTCACATGCTCTGACAAACATCACTCAGCTATTGCAGAATTTAGGTGAAAAGGTTCTTATAACTGTTTACACGTGCTGATTGCATCACTAGAAGCTTACTCACAATTGAAGTGAAACGTCACCCCTGAAGTGATGAGCTGAGCAACCCTGTGTTGGCATGTGACAGTATAGCTTTTCACCCGGCAAGACATAGTTGTGAATTTGAGTGGGTTGTTACCACACTTAAAAGTGTCTGTGTAGAAGGAATATGTGACACTTTTCTGGAGAGTATGCCAAAGCCACTGCGGTGCAGCTTAGAACAGGAAGTGATCAGGGTAAGGAAGGAGCTGGGAGAAGCAGGAAACACTCTTTGGAATTAGTTCAAGCACTTGCAGTGTGTCCTTGTGTGCATGTGTTTGTTTGTTTGTTTGAGTACATGTGTGTTCAGGCAAGAGTATTGCTCATTTGAGACACTTAAGTTTGTAAACATCCTTATTTACTTCTTTGGTGAGATGTTACAGATGAAAGTTAGTGGATTACATCACTATCTTAAAATCTTTATTTCATTTATTTACCAGTGCACAAAAAAAAAGTGTCAACACAACAGAACTGCCAACAACAAATAAATCTATATGCTGTCTGCACCTTTCATTAGAGCAGACCCACCACTGAGCAGGAATTGGGTAGAGTATTGGTACACTAATTAGTGCTGTTGCCTCACAGCATTAAGGTCTTGGGTTTGAATCTAGTGGCCTCGTGGAGCCTCGCACCTTGTAAAGGACTCGCAGCCTAGCCAATCGAGTTATTGTTGTTGTTGTTGAGGACAAAATTAATGAAGGCGCTTCTCCTTTAATGCCAGCAGTTTCAAAATCTCATTAGATTTATGATTTGAAAGTTTTTGGTATTAAAGTTTAATTTATCTAAATTTCTCAGCAAGACTTGCATGGTAAATCATGCTAATTATTGCCTGAACAATTCATGGATATGCTTGAGTGAGCGTCGTCTCTTGCCGTCTCTTGTTCCCCACTATGGATTGTTCTCTATGCCTGAAAAACAGAAACCTAAAGTCAATGTCAGACTAAGCAAGTGAAAAGAAGCAGAGATACTCACTGATTGTCAGGCTAACACTAGTAGTGGAAATCTTTCTCAGAGCTTAAACCACATTATGAATAAACCCAGTAGTTTCCTATAGTCTTGTGTAAAACGCAGGAAGCACCTTACATTACATATAGGAATGGCTCATCATTGTAAACATCACTATAAATAAATATTTTTAGACTAGATATTGTGTTGAGTGGGTACTGGGTAGTACACCTAAACTGTTTGCCAGCTATGATCTGGCCCCAAAACCAGGGCTCATAAGCAGCTGGAACCCAGCATCGCTTGGTTTGGGAGCTGCTGGCAAAAAGCCAAACTCTCTGGGAGCTGTTCTACATTTTACAACATGATGGATGGCATAAGTCAATTTTAACCGTAACAACAAATCAGTTCATCAAGCACGCTCGTTAATAGTTGAGAGGAGGTAAAGGCTTTCTTTTAGGACGACGGCTAAAATTTAAAACCTCTAATGAGGTGATAACTGTGAACGATTCCCATCTGAACGATAGGCCAATTGACACGTTCTGATTGTTTCCTGCCCTTTTACTTCAGTAGACAGATGAGATGATGCTATTGAGTGTTCAATTGTGGCTTTATGCGCGGCAGGTAGCTCATACTCGCCATGGGCTTATTCAAATTTTCATGAAAAGATGACCTTGAAAAAAAATTGTATTCATAATG